TGGCCATGGCAGAACCTTGATTTTGTGCTCAGTGACCCATTTTTGAGATGATTTTGATGTTTGTTTTGGATCATTGTGCTGATGATCCAACCATGGCCCAATATAAGATGCCTAGCAGATTTTTTTATATGTTGGAATTTCATAGGATCCATGATGCCATGTCAAGGACCTCTAGCAGAAAAATAGGCCCAAAACATTAAAGATCCAGCAGTACATTTAGCTATGGGCATGGTTTTTTTTTGTTTTTCATCTGGCCGTAGAACACAGTCCCATTTGAAGTTCCAGTAGTGTCTGGCAACTGAATATGACTGAGTTTGTTTTTCGGATGAGAGGAGAGAATTTTTTTCTTGAAACCCTCCCAAACAACTTGTAGTGATGTAGGTGCTGTTTGATAAATAGGCGTTCTGACCCCAAGTATCAACTAATTTCTGCAGTTTTGTTGGCCACTCAAACTATCCACCTTTCCGTGCATTAGGATAATAGACACGTCAACTTCCAGGCAAATTCATAACATCTCCAGTTGATTGGAACATCTCAATTATTTCCCTGATGGTGGAAATGGGAATTTTCAATGTTTTACCTATTTTGTTAACAGCCACTTTCTATTTTGTGAAGCTCAAAAATATTTTGCAGCACACCAGAATTATATTCTTTGGTTTTTACTATTGTTATGGATGATTAAGAGAATTTGGCCTTTGTGTTACCTTACATTTATACTCTCATGTGAAACAGGAAGTGATGGCTGGACAATTTCATGTTTGTAGTCACCCTGGTGTGTTAAAACATTTAAGATTAATGGGAATATCCTTAATAGATATTTTATTCGTAATAATTTCTAGGGGTGCTAATAGTTGTGGCCAATATGTGCCCACCCCCTCCCTCCCTCCCTCCCCAGATTTATTTATTTTTACAGCCTTCTTTACTAAGAGCCTTCATTTACCAAGAGAGCTACTAATTCTGACCTTAACTGTGTATTTGGTATGGTCTCTAATATACCTCTATAGAAATTCAAACTGCTGTAGTTTATTAATATTATTATTATTTTGAACCTTGTTGTGAAGAGTGCAAAAACTGTTATGAGTATTACTTAGTGTTATAAAATGAAAGCAGTTAACTCAATTTCACTTGCAGTATATTTATTAGCATTAGACTGCATTACATTACATACTGTACATGACAACAATGATAATGTGTTCAATTAAACTGTCAAGGAGTTCTCCATGAACACAGCTCCCATTCTCTTCTGAAAATGTCAAATGTAATGTCTTATTCTTCCTTGATATGTTTTTGGATCCAAGAGAGAATGTCCTCATCGATTTGAATGGAAAGGGTTCCGTCTGGATTGATAGGAACAGCGATGGGAAGAGGAATATCCATTCTTGACAGTGTCATCTAGTACAGTGGGAACAAAAACAATTAGTTGTATTTTCTTGTTATATCTCTGTGTGAATCATACTTTAAAGGAAACTATTTTACCTCTGGAATCCTAGCAATGACATTCAGGGACCTTTGAGATGGC